CTGGGTGTATGACTGTATGACAGTGTGTGTGGCTGTGTGTGTAAGTGGGAGTGTGTGTGACTGGATGACTGTGTGGCTGTGTGTGTGAGTGTGTGGCTATGTGAGTGTGACTGTATGACAGTGGGGATGGGTGTGTGTGTGTGTCCCCAAGGCAGCGGTGGCAGTACCAGCAGTGGGCTCTTGGCGCCCTGGCTGTCCCTGTCCCACTGTGCGGAGCCCCTTGCTGCATTCTGCCGAGGACTTTTTCCCATTTCCTTTCCTGCAACAGAAGGTGGCCCCGGGTGCATGGCTGCTCGGTGAGCAAGCTGAGGCCCAGCCTTTCCTGTGTGTGTGGCCCTGGCCGCAGGGCTCTGCCTGCCTCCTTTGGACACTGGTGGCTCCTTCCTGGGGCCTGCTGCAGAGCACCCAGTGCGCTCTAGAAGCCTGTGGGTGCTGCTGCCCTGGACCCCACCCGTACCCTTGCCCTGCAGGTGCAGGCTGAGGCCGTGCTCCGCGGCCTCCGTGAGCTGTCGGGAAGCGCCCGCCTCTCAGCCAGGGATCTGCAGGCTTTGGGAGAGAGCAGCCCGGGGGACCCCAGATCGCCTGCGTGCACCCAGCTCATCAGGCAGCTCCTCCTCAACTTCCTGCTCTGGGCTCCCAGAGGCCGCACCATCGCCCGGGAAGCCATGGCCTTTGTAAGTCCCCGCTTTCCTGAACCTCCAGGTGGAAGGGTCTTCCCGAGGGTCCCAGGCCTTGGAGTGTGGGGATGAAGGGTCAGTGGGGTTGGCCGCGGGAGGGGCCCCTGGCCTGCCGGTGCAGCACCCTCTGCCACAGGAGAAGACCGGCTCAGAGGGAGGAGGTGCCATCTCGCAGGCCACACGGCGAGGTCTCCCCACGGGCTGGTCCCATTGAGTGGCCGCTCACGCTGCAGGTCAAAGAGTTTGCTTTCCAAAAAACTGGTTAATTGTGAAGAACTCCTTCCAAAGCCCAGGTGACAGGAGGAGGGTGGGTGTGGGCCAGACAGAGATTTGGCAGGGTGTCTTCACTGTGACACCGAGACACAGGCGCCTGCAGGAAACAGGCCAGCTGGACTCCTGGACATTGAAACTGTTGGGCATCAAAGGATACGACCAAGACACTACAAAGACAGTTCTCAGAACGGGAGAAAACGTTCTAAAGTCCTGTGTCTGCCAAGGGTTTGGTGTCCAGAGTGTGGGAAGAATCCTCAACTCAACAGCAACAAAGTCAGATTCAAAATCAGGGAAGCACTCAACCAGGCACCGCTGTAAGGGTGTGCAGATGGCCAGGAAGGACTGGGCAGATGTCAGCAGCACGGGCCACGAGGGAAGCACAGACCAAATCCACAGTGAGGCCCACCGCCCTCCTCACGAAGGCCACTAGAAGAATCAAGAAAGTAAACACGGAGGCTGCAGAGACGGGGAGGCTGCTGAGACGGGGAGGCTGCGGAGATGGGGAGGCTGCGGAGACGGGGAGGCTGCAGCGGCCCAGCCCTGTGGAAAGGATCTTGGCAGTACCTCAGAAGGCCAAATGGCACTCCTCAGGATGGAGCACTTCTACTCTTACACACATTCCCCCAAGAACTAGAAGCAGGAGCTTGAACAGAGCCCGTACAACACACTCACGAGAGCCGGAAGGCGGCAGCAGACAAAAGGGTGAACCAACTGAGGCCCTTGTATGTAGTGGAATATTATTTGGCCTGAAAAAGGGAGTCCTGGTGCATGGCTGTAACACGGATGGACTTTGAAGGTCTCACGCTAAGGAGAATAGGCTAGGCACAGGAGAATGCCGTAGGGCCCCATGGCCTGAGGTGCCCAAGTTCATGGAGACAGAATAGAATAGTGGGTGCCAGGGTCCGGGGAGGGCATGGTGAAGAGTTTCTGTTGGGATGATGGCAGGTCCTGGGGATGTCGAAGCCGTGCATATTCACTGTGATTTCATAAAGCACTCCAACGGGGCGCGGGGGTGCAGCCAGTGGTGGAGTGCCCGCCCGCGCCGCTGGTCCTGCCGAACAGTGTCCGGGCCCAGCTCTCTCCAGGCAGGCTCTGGTGACGTGGCTGTGAATCCACTGGTGGGTTCCGTGACGCCTGTTGAGAGTCCTGGGAGACCGTCAGGAGGCCCTCCTCCCCGCAGGTGGTGCTGTGCAGCAGGCCCAGGGCCAGCGCCTCTGCGCTCCCGTGTGCCTAAGAGCAGAGAGCCCTGGCCCTCGTGGCCACCAAGCACAGGGACACTTGGGAGTCTACTCTGTGCTTTCACAGAATGCATCTGCGACGGCACAGAGGCACGGCACCCGTGGGGAAGCCAGGCGTGATCTCAGCCACGGGTGGACTCTAACAGTCACACTGCAGACAGAGCGGGGCGGGTCCCAGGAGTGGGTGGGGGCGGCGCTGCCTGGCGGTGGAGAAATGGCCGGTTCTGACCCCGCTGAGAGGCTACGCTTGAGAGCGGCTGAGGGAGGGTCTTCCTTGTCCTCGCCACGCACACGTGCACACGCACACACACATGCACGGGAACCTCGAGGCTGTGAGCGTGCAGCTAGCACCGGGCTGCGGTGACCACGTGGGCACAGCAAGACGCCACAGGTTCTCCTGGAGGGAAACAGCCATGAAACCTAGAACAGGACTCAGAAGACAAAGAGCTGTTTTCGCCGCTGTGACCCAAAGACCTGGCAAGAACAGTTAGAGGAGAAAGGCCTGTCTTAGGGGCTCGGAACCCGTCACCTCACCTCTCGGCTGTCTCCCATGGCTTGGTGCACTTTCCGGGGACGCCTCACATCCAAACCACAGCTTCCGAGCCCCCTGGGCGGGGAGCCCCCGTGCTTGAGAGCTGAGATGTGCACGTCACTGGGTGTCCACACCAGCTTCGCCTCCGCCGGGGTGAGCTGAAGCCGCTGCTTTTCACCGTGTGATCCAGGGGCGTGTCACACAGGTGCACAGGGGTCAGTCAGGCTGGCACAGAGCACCTGGATACTCCAGATGGCGCTTGCTCCTACCTGTGACCCAGGTCTAACAAGGGAAAGTGTCAGGCAAGCCCCAAGCCCGTGTGGGGGCAGCCGGCACAATCCCTCCAGTGCAGCCATCGAGGCCGTCAAAACCAGAAACATCTGGAGACTGTCACAGCCAAGAAGAGCAAAGGACATGTGACACTGAGTGTGACAGGTATCCCTGGTGGGGCTCTGGAACGGCAGAGGAGAACCACGGGGCCGAGGACTGGCTGTGACAGGCGCCCTCGCAGGGTGCTGGCAGGAGGGGACGGTGGGGGACAGGACTCCACCCCCTTGCAGTCACTCCTGCTTCCTCCTCTCCTGGGGGAGCCCGCAGCTCGGGGTGGAGCGCTGGTCTGCAGGGAGCCGGGGCCCCCTGAGAGGAGACCTGCTTTCCCTTGGCGTGGACGGGGCAGCGGGGTTGGAGGACGGGAGGGGAGTCTGCCGGGAGCCTTCTAACTTCCTTCTCCCCCGTTGCAGCTGGCCCCCACCCATGACGTCACCCGGGAGGTCATTGGCTTTCTGGACCAGACCTTGTACAGATGGG